GTTTTTAGGTCTCCAGTGTTAAAAAATAGCTCTCTGGAAGGTCAGGGCTACAGGGGGAATGTTCCAAGATAGTCAGAAAAAAGTCCGGGGACGATCTCCTGACCACTCAGGAGTTTTTGAGAGCATCTGTTCCTCATTATTTATCTTTCGCCCCAGCTCCGCCTGTAGGATGGCATGCCCGACCTAACGCCAGGCTTTAACTGCATCCTCTCGCCGGAGCCGGAGAGCTGGGTGCCCGCGCGCGCCCGGCGCCCCATGGACGGCTCGCGCGGGCCCGTCGCAGAGGCCGCCGGCGCGGGCGGCGCCGTGGCGGCCACCGCGGCCGGCCTGCTGCTGGCTGGCAGCCAGCTGGCGGCTTCTCTGGCCGGGGTCAAGGCTCTCGGGGTGCGGGGCGGCCTCGCGGGCCCTAAGCTTCGAAGAAGAGAAAACGCCACCAGAATGAGGGTGGAGGCCCATGCCAAGACACACGCTGCTTGCCTCCAGGGGGCCCTGCGTTTCTTGGGTTTCGTTGGTCTTGCGATGGAAAGCGTGAAGTGCCCACACCAAGAATCACTGGACGTCCTGGGGTCGCAGGGTTAAGGTTTCTTGTGGAAGGTTTCTTGTGGACTGGCCTCCACTGTAAACATACACTTCGGGCGCTCCGCGCGGATTTCTTGGATCTGCGCTGGGACCCCCCGGGCGGCGCCTCCGGCGCCGCCCTTGGCGCGCTCCGCGCACCAGGCAGCGGCGGGGTCCAGCGCAGGTCCAAGAAATCCCCGCGGAGCGCCAAATGTTTACGAATCTGGTGTATTCTCATTCTCAGGTGCGGGGCGGCCCTGCTGGCCCTCAGCTGCTGGCGTCGTATATCTAGTTTTCCGAGCCAGGTGTCTTCGACGAAAGCTCGGGTCGTGGGAGCCTCACGGATCGATGTGCAGCTCGAGAATTGGCGCAGCAAGGTGGCTGGCGCAGCAAGGTGGGGTCCAGGGCTCTCCGGTCGTGATTTTTCAAGATGCTTCAGTTTTTCCGAGACCTTAGATTCTGTTGCATCTTCGGGGGACCTCTCCTGTCCCAAGAATTAGTGTCTTTTGGGGGGCCCGACGCGTGTTCGATGCGGACTCGACGCGCATTTGGCGTGGATTCGACGCGGATTCGACACGGATTCGACACGGATCCGACGCGTCCGACATGGATTCGACACGGATTCGATGCGGACAGGGCCGCGACAAGACAGACAAGGTCCCCCGAGGATGCAACATAATTTAGATCTCAAGGGTGTGTATGTGCGGCGCTCGCCAGCGGCGAGCATGTCCACGTCCGCGGCCCGGTGGTCTGGATTCCGGTGCACGGTCCCGCGGACACGCAGTCGCACGGATACGTTCTGCGCGGGGCTTCCGCGAAGAGACGCCGCACACTCGCGGGGTCGCGGCCCAGGGCCCTGGCCCGCGAGGCCGCAGATCGGAGCTTGAGGGGTGAGGTCGCAGAGGAACGGAGACCCCAAACCGGGAAATCGTTTCGTTTCGTTCGTGTCGTGCGTGCGGGCGAGGCGAAGCTGCGTGGGCGCGCGAGAGGAATGAACCCGCCGTTGCTAGGGCGAAGTCAAGACAAATGATTCTCCTCCGCCCGCCCCTCCGGCGATGGCTCGCAAGTCCCGCGGTGTCCCGTGGTGTCCCGTGGTGTCCCGTGGTGTCCGCCGCTGCAAGGGCGAAGTCAAGACAAATGATTCTCCCCCGTCCGCCCGTCCGTCCGTCCGTCCAGCGGTGGCTCGCGGTGTCCCGCGGTGTCCCGTGGTGGTGTCCCGTGGTGTCCCGTTGAGTGAGATCGATAGTGAGATCGACAGCGAGGTCGATACTGAGATCGATACTGAGACCGATACTAAGATCGATGTGGTGTCCCGTGGTGGCCCGTGGTGTCCCGTACAGTGAGATCGATAGTGAGATCGACAGATGTCCAGTGGTGCCCCGAGGTGTCCCGCGATGTCCCGTTGAGTGAGATCGATTGTGAGATCGATAGTAAGATCGATACTGAGATCGATGTGGTGTCCCGAAGTGTCCCGTGGTGGCCCGTGGTGGCCTGGTCAGTGAGATCGATAGTGAGATCGACAGGTGTCCCGTGGTGTCCCGTGGTGTCGCGAGGTGTCCCGTGGAGTGAGATCGATAGTAAGATCGATAGTAATATCGATGTGGTGTCGCGAGGTGTCCCGTGGTGTCCTATGGTGTCCCGTACAGTGAGATCGATAGTGAGATCGATAGTGAGACCGATAGTGATATCGAGAGGTGTCCCGCGATGTCCCGTGGTGGCCCGTGGTGGCCCGTGGTGTCCCGTTGAGTGAGATCGATAGTGAGAGACAAGTGTCCCGTGGTGTCCCGTGGTGTCCCGTGGTGTCCCGTTGAATGAGATCGATAGTGAGATCGATTGAGTCGGATGTTGGTTCGCCCCCCTCTCCCCCCCGACAACCTCCTTATCACCCGAAGGGTGGTCGTATAGGTACTGATATGCTCTTCGGCCTCGAAGCGCTCTCAAGGGGGGGATGATGGGCCGATTTTCCATCACCACTACCACAGGAAGGCGAGGGAGGAGAGGGAGGAGAGGGAGGAGGAGGAGGAGGAGGAGGAGGTGGAGGAGGAGGAGGAGGGGGAGGAGGAGGTGGAGGAGGAGGAGGAACAATAATAATAAGAAGAAGACGAAGAGGAAAAAGAAAACGAGGAAGAGGAGGAGGCCGAAGAGGAGGAGGAGGAGGAGGAGGAGGTGGAGGAGGAGGAGGAGGAGGAGGAGGAGGAGCAGGAGGACCTCCCCACCCTCCCCCCTACAAATTTACAAATTTGCAGAGATGGAGGAAAATTGGTCCACCAGGGGGGGGGGAGGGGGGCGGCCCTCCAAGAAGGTGTGCGGGGGGTGCTTCTGAGAGGGCGCGTGGCTCCTCGGAAGCCATCCAGGCTCCCGGGAGGCTCTCTGAGACAGGGGGCTCAGAGCGGGGGTCCCGAGGGGCAGGGTCGGCTACACGTAAGGGCGACACTTCGCCGCAATGACCTCGTGTGCGGGCCCATGGGGGTCCCCCGATCGCCGAGCGCGATGCGGCGGTGGCGTCTTCGGCGCTTGTGCTTGGTGCCCCCGCGGCCCCGCAAGACCCGCGCACCACAGGTCACTCCTACGCAGGGTCGCGCCTGCGTGTAGCCGATGGGGGTCCTGACGACGAGGGGCCTCGGACAATGCAGAGCCACCCCTGGATCCATGATCCCACCGTCGAAGTGCCGACGAGGAGTCTCCGGGCCCTGCCGCGGAGCACCTCGCCCTCTCAGCAGACCGCGCCCCCCGGGCCCGGGCCTTCCCCGTGCGCGGGCCGCCGAGGGGGGGAGGCGTCGGGGAGGAGCCGCCCGTTGGCGGGGATGCGGCATGGCCGCAGCCACTGCCGCGCCTGCGCTCGGACCGTTCGGCCGCGACGCCCAGGGATGCGGGGCGTCTCGCTGCGCGGGTGCTCCGCGCGGAACGTGTGCAGCCATGGGATCGGGAATCCACCCCGGACAGGATCGCGTCGTAAAAAAACATCAGGACGGCAATTTTTCGCTATGCTGGGCCCCAGGGGGTCCTCGCCGGGCCTCGGGACCGTCAACACAACGACTCAGGACGAAAAACCGGTCCCGGGGAAAGGGTCGGGACTTCCAGGGACGCGGGCCTGAAACAAATCAGGACGTCGCATGTCTGGGACTGGATCTCGCTTCGGCATCCAGACTGCGAGTACACGGATATGGCCATGCACGTCGCTCGTGACAGCTGCACAATCCCTCGGAGGGTGTCAGGCGGACTCTTAATTGTGACCTACGCTTCACCGAAACTGTAAGTGCTGCCTTGCACTCTGCACGCCGTGAGGGCAGGGCATGCTCCAGAGGCTGGACGTTCACAGGATCGGTATGCATGATCCAGGGTGTCGGGTGCCCACTTCCATCCCCGCCCAGACGGGATGGGTTCAAGGGTTTCTACGACCACCCCAAGTGGGATAGGGGGACGACGGCGACGACGGCGATCGCGACCAAGACCACGACCACGACCACGACCACGACGACGACGACGACGGCGAAGACGACAACGACCACGACCACGACCACGACCACGATGACGACCACCACCACAACCACGACAACGACGTCGACGAAGAGGTCGATGAAGACGACGACGGCAGGGAGGGCGGCGGCGACGTCCACGGTGACGGTGACGGCGACGACGATGACGGCGACGACGACGACGATGAGAGCGGCGACGACGATGCCGACGACGACGCTGCAGGACGACGACGACGACGACCACCTCCAGACTTCTCCTGGAAGCCACTGCAAGGCCGCAGCCCTCCCAACCACGCGGGGGTACACCACACACGCGCACGTACACGTACGCATGCAAGCAGGCCCACGTCCACATCACACCACATCACACCACAGGGTGGGACCTACTGTTGAAGGGGGGACGCTATACCCGTGGGAGGCGTGGGACCCTGGATCATGCACAGATGGGACAAACGTTTCTTCAACTTGCCATAATAATACCTCCTACCCCTCTAAATGTTTCTAGCATGACATGGTGGCTGTGTCATTCGGCGGAGTAGTGTTCCGATCCGCTGAATGCCTATAACTCGGTTGCCCCCAAACCAGACTGGAAACTGCTCCGCTCCAAGCCCCATGAGTTCTCGAGCGGGATGCGCCCTCGCGCGGAGCAGTTGGAGCATCTCTACTCCGAACTGCCCCGCGCGGATGCGCCAGTGGCGAAGGCAGATCGAAAGACACCTTCGCCACGGTGATGTATACGGACTTCCTGGCCAAGCCAGGAGGGCGCAGACCTCGACCCTGAGCCCCCATGCCCCAGGATCCGCCCGGCCAGGACCAGCGCAGGCGTACACCGTTAGCGTGCTCCCGTGCCCTCCTCCTCCGCCTCGCCGCTGTCGTCCCCGTGTCGCCGTGCTGCTGCGCTCGCTGCAGCGGTCACCGCTGCTGCTCGAGGAATAGAGAACGCCATAAACATTAGCTTTTGGCGCTCCGCGCGGCTTCCTCGGATCCGCGCTGGGGCCCCTGGCGCGCTCCGCGCGCCAGGGAGGGGAGCCCAGCGCAGATCAAAGACTTCCGCGCGGGCCGTCGGAAGTTCACGGTTGTGTGTTTTGACCGTGCGCGCCATTGGCCCGCCGCGGAGGGAATGAGAGCAGCAGCAGCAGCAGCAGCAGCAGCAGCAGCAGCAGGCCGCCAGCCCTTTTCTACCACCCATCCTCAAACCATCCCCAACCCCACCTGAGCAGCGAGGGAGCCCCCGCTTCCTCGTCCTCCTCCCGTCCCCCCCCATCCACACCTTGCCTTGGTTGCCTCGATACGCCCGTTTTGAAACGCAGCACGTCCCGTGTTCAAGACGTCCGTGTCAGTACGTTGCGTGTTAGCTCCACGTATTGGACCACGTTTTGGCGAATGCATCGCGTCGGACCTGCGTTTTCGCCCTACGTGTTGAGCTCCGTATCAATACGATGCGTGTAGCGTGTTGCGTATCAAGGCAGTTAAGCACCTTGCCCTTCGCCTCGCTGTCCGTGCCTCGCGTCGGGAGAGGCTGCACGGAGCAGCTCTTGTTGTCTCCATGGGTTTCCCTTCCTTTGGGCCCGTCTCCTCCTTCCGCTTCCTGCGACCACGACGCTAACAGACAGCCTTTTTCGAGAGGGCAGTGGCTCCACACTGCGTGTGCATGCAGTGTGGAGCCACTTCTGTCCGCGCCCCACTCTTCGCGTAGGGTCGCGCTCGACGGTACTGCTATTCTCGCGACGGCCTCGGGTTTGGCTCGCGTAGTCTGCCGGCAGCTGCGAGTTGAGCGGGCAGCGCATAGTGGGTCATTATTTGGGGCAGTTGCTTGACGCAGCGAGAGGTGGCGGTCGCGCAGCCTGACCATGTGACAGTGCTAGGAACGAGACTCTGCCCTTCCAGCATGCGCACTCTCGGGATCTGGTACCTCGTGCACCTGGGAGCGACAGTGCACACCCATAATCATGGGTTCCGACAGGCACACGATGCAATCCTACAGAATCCGATTCCCCAGGCTTGCGCCATGTTGCCGACCCCCAAAGGAGACACTCGACAGACGTTGCGCGAAAGGAAGGGATTTGACGACAAGGCTTCCGAACACAAGCCCGTAGCTCAGGTGAGAAACTCCGGCCCCTGCCCCCAGTACAACGACCAGAAGTCATTTAAGGACGCCTACCCGTACGGTCTGGTACGAATTTGCGCTGCGCATGATCGCGGCGCGCCCTTACAGTAGGCTCCCCCTCAGGGGGCGGTGACCGATTTCCATGTTATGCTTCAATCGACGGTGTTGCTTCTTCCTCGCAGCGCGCGGGAAGGCAGAGATGCATCTTAGCTCGCCCCAGGAGGGGTCTGATTTTCCCCCGAAGATCCCGGGGCAAAGTTGTTTTCGTCCAGTACCAGTGTTACGGGGTGTGCTTTGCAAGGGGCTGTTTTTTTAAGCTCGTTGTTTCGTGCTACGAGTTCCCTGCCCTGTACTTTTGGGTCTTGCGTTGATGGCCCGCTTCCCCTTGCATCCTCTTTTCGGCGGCGAGCGAGGGGGGAAAGTGAGAAGGGGCGGGCCTTTCCAGAAGGCTCGGAAGTCCCTTGGCCTTCTGAGCAGTTTCCAAAGCCTTCCCCAGGGACACAGAAAACGGTTCAGCAGGCGCGAGGGTTTCTGAGAAGTCCCGCCGCTTTCTGATGGGGGCCTTCTCCATTTCGTTTCCCCACCTTGGTCGCCGCCGAGTTGCTGGCTTCTCGAAGCCCCGCCGCCTTCTGTGAAGGCCTTCTCCTTCTCATTCCCCCCCCCCTCGCTCGCCGCCGAATCCTCCTTGCTCCCTCTCTTCCCCCGGCTTCCCCCTTCTGCCGCTACTTCTGCTCCCGTCTCTCGCCCGTTCCTCCTATCCCATCATCCTCGCTTCACCTCCAGGCCACTCCAATCCAATAGGGGGCCAAATGCGAACCCTACCCCTACCTCACACCATTTCGGAGGGGGGGGGGGGGGAAGGGGGGAGGCCTTCTCAGAAGCACCCCTGCTTGCTAGGAGGCGCGGGCCCTGCCTGCAGATGGAAGGCCGGCGCCTTCCAAGAAGCCGCCCCGTGACTCCTCGTGGCGAGGGGCGTCACTTGAGAGCCTTGTTGGGATTCTGGGGACCTCTTTGGGCCCTCTGTGAATTGGAAGTCTTGATGCCATGTGTGAGGGAATGCCACTGGGGCATCCTTGAGTTTGCCCCCTTAGGCCCCCCCTTGCGGCCGTCTTGGAGCCCGCTTGGGACCGTTCTAGACCCTGTCAGGGACCTCTTGAGCCCTCTCCGAGCGATCTTGGGGACCAGTTGGGCCGCCTTGGGCGTCGTGAAGTCCCAGAAAGCGAATGCGCGAAATAGCACGTTTCATGGAACAGATGTGGGTGGTTTCTGTTTTTTGGCGCGGGCCCTTCGGGGCGCGTTTGGGAGGCCTGTTGCGCCGCTTCCAGGGGCCATATTGGATGCGTTTGGCGCCTTCTGGGC